TTGGAGAATCGTCAAAATCTCCTCCGATCACATCAAAACCGTCGGAAAACGCTGCACCCACATCAGTGTCAACATCAACGTCGCAGCCAAAAGCTGCCACGAAAGCAGAATGCCCTCCTGAGCTTCGACCAATCGTCGAGGCCGAACAACGACGCGCCGCCGAAAAAGCGGCAAATCTGGCCCTTTGCTCCGCCGCCATCTCTGGCGTCGAAGCCACCCTCCTCCCTTTGAACAACGGGTCAAATAGACAATTCGTAGACTCCATGAGAGTCTACCTACGCGCCGCCATGGCGCAATACATGGCCACGGGCCCGGCCATCACGCCACCCGTTCTCCCTCCTCGCCCCGCGAACCCGATCCCAAGGGCTCCAGAAGCCAGGAGCAAAATAACTCCCGCCGTCCCAGTGCTGCCTGTAAAAAGCACCTGGGCCACGGTGGCCAAAAATGGACTGCGACAAAATGCAGCTCCTATAGCAAAGGCTGTGCTGCGACCTGCGGCGAGAGTCCAAAAGAAAGAAGCTCCCAAGGCGAAAGTCAATAAGCGACTGTTCCTTCGCCTGGAAAGGGAGCACCCATGGCGGAATCTCTCAAACAACATTGTGAAAAGTAAGGTAGCGGACATGCTTAATCGCTCTTACAATGATATAACCTCGATTCATCGAGTAAAGACCGGCTTTGCTATTATAGCAAAGAACGAAAAAATACGACAAGAGATCCTAGATGTCTCTCCGAAGCTGGCAAGTGAAAACGCCTAACTCGAAGCATCTTCGGATCTTGTCGCCTTACAGATACCGAACGTACCTGTAAGTATCGTTTCACAGTACGGCCCCGTAGCGACCGATGCTGCAAGTGTCACCGCTGAGATCTTCCTTACGACCAGCGCGTATCCAATCCAGGTCCGACCTCATGGGACATGTCGGCCTGGATCGCCTTATCGAAACTGGCATGCCCTTTTTCGCCGGGACGAAGCCCCTCGTGCGGGCTTCCGCCTTTTCGACGATTCGGGTATGGCTACCATCCACAAGCCTCGTCGATCAATTGAACAGTGCAAACGCTGTTTGGGCTTCCACGCCACTCGTGGTTGCTCCCGCGCTCCGGCTTGCTGGAACTGCGGATCAAATATGCACTCCGAAACAGAGTGCAAGGCCCTCACACGCTTTCGCAACTGTGGGGGACCTCACCGATCGGATTCTCGGGCCTGCCAAGTCAGACCAAAAAAATCCGGACCGGTGACCAAATAGCAGCTCGCGTGGATTCGCCACATCGAACAAGGGGAATTCTCAAAGGTGGCTCGAGCTAGGGCTGTAGCAAAAAAGGCCGAAGAGGCAATCATCGCCGCGGCGAAGGATGTCTCGATGGCCGAGGCAACAGGTTTCGGAGCTCTGGGATCTGAAGAAGAAGTTTGAGGACACAGCAACCTCGACGATGTCCCCTTTTGGGGCATCTACTAACCAATAGCAGGATACCGGCTGGATCAAAGGTGCCTGCTAACCCATCTCTTGCTCTCAGCGGAGATTGAATAAATTTTGTCATTTGGAAGGTGTGACGGACGAGGGAATGTGTGAGGAGCGCATTTACTGGGTCCAATATGGAGGAATCTTCTGGTATTCGGAGTTGTTTTGATTTTTGTGATTTTTCGTTCTTGTTCAATCAGCTGCACTTTTGGTAGCGATTCACGAGGTTGGAAAGAGTTAGGCTGTAGGAAAAGTTACAGGGAGCCCTGCCGGATCCGCCGGTCCTTGACCCAATGTGGAAAACATAGCTTTAGCTTAGGACCGAATGTATAAAAAAAAAAAAGTACAGTCAGACCCCTGTCAAGACGATGTAATCGGGCCCGTGAAAAATATCTTCTTATAGAGGATATCGTTTAAAAGGATATGATTATCCAATCCAGCTATCTAGTCTACTTTGTACGATTAATGCCTCTTTTATACTCCCATTTGCCGCCTTTAATCGCTCTAATATTCTCAAGGTCAGGCCAGTTTCCAGCTCGCTATCTTAGCGCGTTAATACTTGGAACTTCGTGGAGTTTTGCAAAGGTCTTGCTCAAAGACTCGGAGACTGTGGACTGGCTTAATCGATGGCCGTACTCAGCGAAGAACCACTCAATGCACTGTTTTCGTGTTGGTTTTGGGACCTGGCGGTGCGCCCATCGTCGCAGAGCACGCCGCTGCTCTACAGAAATTCACTTTTTTGGCGACAATGTTAGCACCAACTAGCAAAAAAACCCTGGTTAAGACGATATTCAGAGGTTGAAGAACGATAATCGTGTAATCGGTAAATGTATGGGAACGAAGTCCCTTCCTGAAAAAATATCGTATTAACGGCAATATCGTCTTCACCATGATTTTCTTAACAGGGGTCTAACAGTAGTGGTTTGTATGATATATATTAAGAAATTTGTCCACTGCAGCCTGATAAGAAGTAGATCTTCTGTTACAAAGTTCATGGATTACTGCCAGGTTATCTAGCAGGACATTGATTAGTATATCTTCTGCTAACTCTATCGTTTAATGTTAAGGTCGATGATTTATGTTTCAACATAATCAATGACTATTAAATATGACCTAGCATACTAGGTCTACACCTTTAAAGCAGAAATTACGTCACCAACACTGGCAGCTAATTCTTTTGATTAATAATTTAATTAATCACTTTCATTCTACGACTTTTAAGGGCACGTAGGTTCTTAATGCATACAGACTGGAGATAACTATGCCTATGGTATTAAATCTTCACCAATTAGTCCCTTAGCAGATCTCTACCAACATTATTTCTCCCCACAAGCCTTCATTATGAGATAGATTTACAGTAGTCTTTTACCCTCTATTATATACCCTCTGCAACCAAATAATCGAACAATATTGGCGGGTGTGAGACAGTAGGATTTTTTTTAATTTAGCATTGATTAATGAATTCCCTTAATGCCGACATTAGAAATAAATCCGAAGATGTAGCTACCCTTACATAGCGCCTGAAGAGGTCGTCAAAATTAGAACTTTGAGCTTGCATGTGCCTTGGAGAATCAATCTCTGCCTTTTTGTCTTCTTTCAACTCTTCTCCAAAGGTCGGGTTGAAATATAAGAAAAGTCTTAACAGAGCGTGTTTTCTGCATGGTAGCCTAGCCCATGTTTTATATGTCACCTTGGGCTACGGGAAATACCGCTGAGTAATTTGCTGTTGAAGCCTCTCTAGCTAGTGCTGGATCATAAATCTGCTTTGTAGATTGTAAAGTATGAAAGAGTGATTGGCAGGAGATAAATCTTACTGGCATTTATTTCATTTCATTTTCCTGCCTAGGTCTATAATTATGTAAGACATGTAGATCTGATTGGCGTTGACTCTTTATTTGTACCTTGTGAATCTTATTCATTTTTTTTATTGCCATAGCCGTGGGCTCATTTATTTACTCTTCCCACTTGTATTTATTTATTTTTATGTCTACCAGGTACTAGTTAGAATTAGAGCCCCATCCCTGAGGAGACATGGTGACTCCTACGTAATACAAGATATAATGTGTAGTAGCAGAGGCCATGAAAAAAAATTACAAACTGCGAACGCTATTCAGCGGATTCCTCACAAGAATAGCTCATATCTTACGGAGTGGGCAGATTTCTGACATGAACCCGACTTTCTCCAATATGGTAGCGAAACTATTAGGTCCTGTGGAGGTGCTGAGGAGAGAAATGAGTGAGCCCATACTTCGTCGATGGCCGGCCGAAGCCATTCTTTATTTTTATTTTTTTTGCATCAGATTTTAATTGCGTATGCAGCTATCTAGCTATGACACAATATCAAAGAAAAGTATAGAAAAGATGACTCAATTTACAAGAGGAGCACTCATGCTTCGGATTTCATTTGCAAGTACCACTGCGAAGTTATGGCGGCTTTTTCTTCACCCCAAGTCAACCCTCATCCGTGAATACCCACCCAGGGGAACGTCTAAAAATCCTGAGTTATCCAGACATGCCTCCATCATCTTTCAACTTTTCTCCGCGCGAAATATGATCAGAGATGTCTCCTTCCCAAGTGGAGTAGGTGCCCAGGCTACTCAAACCATACCAGAGAACACCACCAGGAGGCGGACCACAACACCTTCCATCGTCGGCTTGTTTTTATAGTGTGAGCTGCACTCTCGCAAGCGAGGTCTTGGCGCGCACAAAGCTCAATTCGTAAAACTCTTGCCAAAATTCGAAATTTCACGCCCGTCGAGAATGTATCCCTCTTCTGCATCATTTTGAGAACTTGTCCTGATCCCTCTCACGTCCGTCCCAAAGAGCTATCTCCCAGATTTGTGCTCCACGCTTTGCTTCCTCCGTCGGGTATAAATATCGGCGTGGGCGTGTATTTGGTGACCGGCTGAGGCCAGAGAAAGTCAACGAGAGGCGTGGTCATTAAAATGAGGATGTACTAGGTCGTACTTGTAGACTTGATGAAGTTTAGTTGAGAATCGGGCTCTTTGGGAGTGAAAGATTGACATGGTGGAGTAATTTGAATCTTTGCCTGGTGGGCCAACTTCTTTGATATTGCGAAATTTGACTGAACTTGGCTCTGGGAGAATATTTCACTCCCGGGTTCGTAGAGGACACTGCGTACAGGTGTTCAGCCTTGTCCTCCCCATTCTTTATCGCGTAGGGGGGCAAAAAACTAAGTGAGTTATTGACTTGTTAGCCCCGTAGGAACAAGTCAAAAGGGCATCATTATGATGAAACCTTTCGTGAAAAGCACAAAAGTCACCTTGTTCAGTGCGGCATTGGGTAAATTAGCCGAGATATCGGCGAGGTTGTCATAGTTCCTCAGGTGACTTATTGGGGACTTCCTTACAACTTGCATAAACGGCTAGTGTACTTCCTGTTAGAAATCATCACGTGATAAGCAGAGATCTTAGTCAAGCAAATCAGCTTACTTTCCATGTGAAGGCGCCGGCTGCTAATGTCAATATCTAGTTCATCGATGAGAAAGGTTAACAAAAATACCCATCAATATTCACATATATAAAAATGATCAGAAACGCGCCAACACGGGCGGCAACCATAACTAGTAACCTAGAACCTAAATTAGGCCTCAGTTTACAAAGTCAGACAGTTTCTTTGGCCCCAATACCCATTAGAATGGCTCGAAAGTCGCCGTCGGTACCAAAAAATAAATTTCTAAAATGTCATGCTTCAAACCAAGTATCTCTGTCTCTCTCAAGGCACTCATCTACTGCCGCTAGACCCTCATCCGAGTCTATTGTGAGGGCCCAAAAAATCGACACCCCTTCACAGAGCAACGCACAGATAGCTGAAAACTCTCATCTTGACTGGAATACATTTTTTCAGCTCCGAAAAAAACGACGCTGGTATCAACAAGGTCTATCCATTGGTTCAAGCATAGGCGGCGTCGTGGGGGGAGCCCAGGTCCTAACCAGTTATGATATTGATGCACTAGTTGCACAGTTTCCATTAGATCCTTTTATTTCTCTTGGTCTCATCACTTGTCTTTTTGGTGGGGTAGGCTGGCTCTTCGGGCCGGTGGTGGGAACGGCTATGTTCAATTTTAAAAATCGGACGTGGAAGAATGAGATTGATAACAAAGAAAGAGAGTTTTACAAAAGAGTTCGGAAACATAGGGTTGATCCGAGTAATAGCAGTATCGCAAATCCAGTTCCCGGTATGACGGTGGCAATCATCACCTAACTCGTTTATATACTATGCTAACAATTTCAGATTATTATGGGGAAAAAATTTCAAGTGTTGCTAGCTATCGGCAGTGGCTTAAAGACTGCCGAGCTTTCAACAAAAAACGAACAACCTATTTGGAATAAAGAACCTCGTTTTCATCGAAAAATGGAGTTTGTATTTCTGATAAAATGTGGGAACCACGATTCACTACTATTTTTATAGAGCTGAACCATCAGTGAGGATCAAACATGATTTACGTCATGAAATAGAACCCCTTGTGCCTCGATTCCCTGACCCAGATATTCTTCAACTAGAAAATTCGTCAGTAGTCCGGCCACGATGGATCAACCTGCTCTCTCCACGCCTTAAATCCACCTGTGATGTTCTTCACTGTCTGTAGGCCTCTGGCCTTTAATTGCTTCGTTACAACTTGAGAGTCGTTACCCATGCGACAGATAACGTAGATGGATGCATCTACTGGCAGTGATGTTGGTAGCCTAGCAGTCCGGGCGTTCTCTTTGAAATGGGAATACTCCTTTTGAAACGTGGAAAAGGGAAGATTGATAGAGCCTACCAAATTACAAATATCGAACTGAACTTTTTCCCTGACATCCAAAAGGATGTGCTCCATGTCCTGCTCTTTCAGTCGTGCATACTCAATGACCTCAATTCTATCTTCAGCATCCAAATTAGTCGTTTGTGGCTGTTTTGATCCGCAGAATAGCATGTAATCTATCTGACCATCTCTTATCCTACTAAGTGATAATTTGGCCGCATTTGAACAAGTTATACAATCCTCTCTTCTGCCTTTCAACTTGACATTCCTAAACTTTAGGATTGGATGTGCTGAGAATAAAAGCATTGTAGTCCCCTTTCGCTCTTCTTCAAGTTTAGGGGGTATCAATTTTCCACTGGTGATCAAATGCAGAGTCTCGAGGGCCTGTAATACTCCAATCACGCCTACTACAGGTCCAACGATTCCACCATCTCCACAGCTTACTACGCTATCAGCTGGTGGCGCTTTAGGGAAAACACAGCGGTAGCAGGGACCACCATTTTGGTTGCCCGCGGGGAGAGGAGGCCAATTGAGCAACATAAGTTGGCCCTCATATCGTAAAGCTGAAGCCGAAAGGAGCGGTTTCTGGAGAAGGCTGCAGATATCTGAAACTAGGTAACGAGAGGTTGGATGGTCGGTACAGTCCAGTACCATGTCATACTGTGAAACAATTTCTTGGCAATTTTGCGCAGTGAGATGTGTGCGATGAGCTTGGTAGGTAAGATGAGGATTGAGACTTGATCATGTTAGTTCTTTAAGTGGAAAAAGACGCCGTGAAACTAGCCGTTGTAAGAAGGCAAGAGCACTGTCAACTTTGGTCATGCCTATTGTGCTACTATTATGGAGAACCTGCCGATGTAGATTTGATAACTCAACATTATCGCCATCAACTAGTCCAAGAACGCCTATACCGGCGCCCGCGAGGTAGGCAGCAGCTGGACATCCAAGGCCGCCTACTCCAACGATGAGGACAGAAGCTGATTTAAGGCGGGACTGGCCTATGTAATATTAACAGATTGGTCGATCACGATGTAGATGATGGATCAATAACCTTGAATTCCAATATCTGGAACTATCATTTGTCTCCCATATCGTTGATATTCTTCAGATGTCAAGGGCAAATTTGGTTCAGCTGCCGACTGCCATTCTATGGTTCTCTCATGTGCTTCAATTCTTGCCAGATCAGCTTTTAAATTGATGAGTCCTTCTTCCGCCGCGATAATTTGCTTTTTTAATGCTTCGATGCGATTTGTTTCGTGGCTCATGATTAGCGATTATTGATTGTCACGAGATGGGCAATAAACTCCACATGAAATATTCATAGTTGATGTATTCAACAAATTTTGGACATCGACGGTACTTTCGACAAAGCTGTCCAGAGGCCTAGTCCCACCCAAAAATTCTAACCTCTTGAAACGATGGTAAATTTTCATTTAAACATATGAACTTCGTCGACTATACTGAGAACTTTCTTTAGGCACCTACTGCACCCAAAGCTCGTCGTTCCTTGAGGGCCAAGGCGACCAAATTAAAAGTGGGATTGAAATCGAATGCAAGTGTTGATGATACAGGTAAATTACAAGTAGCTGCGAAAGATGTCCTCTCAAAACGAGAAAAGCGCGCGAATAAGCATTCCAGTCTCGTCAAGCGCATCGAGAAATCCACTACCAAACCATTTAAACGTCGTCGGCCTAACAAAAAGCTCATCACGACTATGAATAACCTGATAGATGCTCTCCCGGATATCGAAGCATTAGTTCAGGGTCCGAATAATGTCAATACAAGCCTTAAACACAAAAGTCTAAAGAGTCGACCTGGGGTTATGAAAAAAAAAGATAAATTAGAGAAAGTCGAAATGGCTAGATTTGGGCAAAACATGGCACATATCATGGGCATAGAGCAGTCAGAAATGATTTCGAATGTTCCAACAACCTCCAGCAAAATGGAAGCTGAATCTTTGCCAGATGTCGAATTTAACACACATAAATCGACAAAGATTGCCAAAAGATTTGCGGCATTGAGAGCCTGGGCGATTACGAATATGGAGAAGCATCCGAGCTTTGAAAAAAATACAATTTAAAGTTTTAGTCGAGGTTACTGATCTTTTGCTTAGAACCGTAGTGAACGTCCAAAGCATGGAGTTTGGGTGTTTTTTGAGGAAAAGATTGGGTCAACGGTAAATTCTATTTCTAAGTCTACATATCGCCGCTCGATTATTTACGTATAGGGAACTTCATTGTAGGATTTTCTATATCTCTAACTTAAAATCCCTATTGCAGTTGTAAATCGGTTTACGCCAGGCAATAGGCTATAGCAGTAGAAACATGGTTAGAGCTTAATTTTGGCGGTATACCCTGGCTGATATACAACAATGCAATAAATTCCCGTGTTTTGCCAACTGTCAGCTTAATGCTTCACCAGCAAGCCATATTATCCCTCACATCTCAATTGGAAGTTTTTTCTAAGATTATTTCAAACCTTTCACGAGAGCTAAGTATCAACAAAATAAATGACTTGGAGTCTTGACATGGTTTCTTTAAGAATCTACTTTGTCACAAATACCAGCCTCATTTACCGTCAGCGGGTGTGTCCCTGTGTTTGACTTAATTACGTATCGTATGATGACGAAGTTGACAATCGTTTTAAAAGTAGCGCAAAAGATATGACTTCTATAAGTAAATATATTTGAGCTGTTATATAGAATAAGGTACAAATTATCTATAAGATGATCGGGTAAAACTGGTTGTGATCTATTCTCGGTGTGATGCCTATCTTCTCCAGTCCTCCTTTTCATGTCCATATATAACCATTACTCTAACCATTCCTTTGTTATTTAAGCAAATTTCTACTAGCCCTAGTTTCTTATACAAGATTAGATCAAATCACACATGACACTAGAAAGTTATTCACATCACCTTAATTACTATGCTTGCATGACTGGACGACCAGTACACGTCTCTTCCCTTGACAGTTATACATCCGCGGGATAAGTAATTAGTCACGACCCGACAAGAAATTACCCTATTTTCGATAGGCCTTAATTTACGCATACGTAAGATTAGTTTAGTGCAAAACGAAAGGTAAGAAAGTGAGGTAAGTATTATTCATTCTTGTCTCTATCTATGAACACTGCGAACGTCCGGGGGACTATTCTCAACACCTGTCAGTGGTGCCCCCTATGAACCTCCAGCTCTCACTGTAGAGTCTACAGAGCTGAGATTGAGTAACAAAGTCCTCACTTCGACGAGGATTCTCAATCGCCCTCGCTCTCTGTGTCTTCTTCATCTCTCAACACATCCCCCTTTCACCATGATCATGGAGCTAACCACGATCAGATCAGATGGTAGGGTCGGAGCCCTGCTCATCATCCACCCTTGATAATGGAGGAAAAGCCATCTGATGAGTTTCCGGAGCGTACCCAGCACCCGATACGGAGATGGCGGATTGGATCAAGTCGCCCTCGATTATTACAAAGAAGGGAGATATAGATGAATATACGAACCTCATGTGGTCCCGGTGTCTAGGCCTCGCCTGGCTGGGGCTGCAGGTTTTTTGAGACATTTTCCCGCGCACGCAGTTTCCATTGCTACCATTTTTATTTTTTTGGGCAGAAGGTTCCGTGGAAAAAGTGGCCGAATTCCATGGGTAAATACTGAGCTGAATGGCTATTTATCAAGCGGAATATATCAATGATCTTTCAAGTAACAAAAGAGGAAAGGAGCACTGTACAAGGTGTGGCCTGGGTCGGAGAGGAGCTCAATGTGCTAGATAGTCACAGACTCAAGTAGTATAATAAACACAAACACACTTGTTCATTTATCCGCGACAACTCCACACCTACACCATATGCGATGGCCCTGTACCATATAATTGGGTAATAATGTAATGACATAGTAATTAGTCATTATTATGTAGAGCTACCCTGCATGGAATGCACGGGCCAGGTGTAAATTACTTACCGTTGTACATCTGTAGATGCTTTCCTTTGCTTAATTTAGAATTTTGTACATTATAATCCTGATCTGAGTTTCTACTTGATTCGACATTGTCATCGCTTACCTGATGCTCTTTCCGGACACTCACAATATTTTTAACTCATCTCAACGCCTGGGAATGCAATACAATTTCCTGATTTCATTGAGACTAAGATTTTTTCGTACTTCAACTTAAAGAACGCGACGAAACTTACGATAACGAAGGGTCATTTTTCAAAGTACTTTCAAGGAATAACTAACCACATAGGTTACCGCTGGTGTTAAAGTTTTCCTACTCTCAAAAAAATAAAAAAATCAAACAGACAAGACATAGTCTCCTTTTTTATTAAAATATAAATTATTTTTAATAAACGTCTTTATTTACATATAGTACCATCTATCATTTCACAATGAGTAATACTTATAATGACCCCGGAATACGCTTTCCTCCCCAATCTGCTTTCGATTCGGAACACGAACATTCAGAAGTCCACTCAGGAGAAGTTGGTGTACCTGCAAGAATTGAAGTCCCAAATGTCGCTTCTCGGAAAAGGAAACCACGCGTTTCGGAGGTCAATCGAAAGGTAGAAGAGTCAATAATGGCCCATGATGAAGTTGGTAGAAAAATGTCGGATGCCATCGTCAAAACTACATACAAAGAATTGAGTTGCCACCATGACTTGGAAATGACCAATCGAAAACAGCAAGAAGAAATAAAAATTTTGAAGAAAAAGATGAAAGAACTAGAAAAGCTTGTGGAGTCTACTAATTTAGATTCTAATCATCGCCAATCAAGAATCCGGCCTCTCTATTCTTCTAAGGCAAGAGAAAATTTCGAGGATATTGCAGAGCTGGACTAAGAATCTTATGGGTTTTTTGCTTCCCAAAGTAAAAAGGGAAAATCGCCAATGAGAAACGCGCCCATGAACTATGGACAAGCAGAACCCTCGGTCGAAAGACATCAAATTAATAGACCCGAAATCCAAAATAGGAGAGCGATAAGGCTTCGGAGTAGTGAGGAACCTAACTACCAGGGGCCCCCATCCGCAAAATATTGAGACCCGAAAGAAAGGCTCGGTCAAAAGTATGGAAATGTGATTCTAGGAGAGGCGGACCGAAAAATTGACTCAATCCGTGAGTTAGGGGGCTCTAATGACTTGAAGTTCTTCGAAAATTGGTTGATCCTGCTTAGAGGAAAAATAAAAGACAATGAAGGACATTGGGGCTCAGATGACCGAATCATGAACTTTATCTTCGCGTCTACCAAGGAAGATGCACATGAATTATTGGCTCCCTACTTTACTGGGCAAGATGATGAAAATGAATTTGGAAATTCAGTCCAGAAGGTTAACCATTTAATTTCCACATACCGAAACAGCACTCTACAGTGTGACAGTATGGTTAAATTTCAAACTTTCCGACAGGGATCCGCTGAATCGTTCCAAGACTTTAAGGTTAGGTTTATTTCTTTAGCAGGAAAGGCAAAAATCCATCATTCCATGAGAAAAGACCTGTTGTATGAAAAGATGAACCGACAACTCAAACAAGCTGTATATACACACTTGCACCTATTACCCGACTTTACCTCTTTATGCCAACATGCAGAGCCCGTAGAGAAAGAGAGAATTAGACTCGAAAGGAACGTGGTGAACAGTCGGCCAGAGAAAATGATTACGAGGAAAATTTACAATCCTAACTCGTCTAAATCACTCTATTAGCCTACCAAGCCCTCGCAACGAGTTCAAAGAAGAATTGTCCGTATCTAGGGGGTTTTATGCTATAATTGCAAGAGAGGCGGATATACCAAGTTAAAATGTCCCATGAATAATGCAAGAATAAGACCCCCAACAGTTCAAGTTGTCGCAGTACAAGAATCCGGAAGTAAATCAGAGTCCGAAGAATATTCGCTAGACCCCAACGAATTGAATTAGGGAAACCAAGAGTCCTAGATAAAGACGCCCTTCTAGGATATCTGGTCAATATACGAGAAATTGACCTGGGCAAAACAATTTCAGAAAAAAGATTTACATTTTAATGCTCCATTTCATTTAATAATCAAATTGTTGATAGAATTTCGGTTCTCCTAGATACAGGCGCATGTGGATTTGCCAAATTAATTCCCAGTGCGCGATTTCTGTTGCCAAATGGTTGGCCAACATCCAATTAATTTGGGTTATTCTATTCAATCAAAAGGCTTTGATGGGAAGAAAGGCCCAATTATTTCGTAAAATGTTTTGCTGTCATCATGGATAGATAAATGGCGCTTAGATAACATACTATTTCTTATTGTCGAGTTAGGAACTCACGATATAATACCTGGAAGTAGATGGCTAGCACACTACAATGTGATGATTGATTCACGACAAAGAAAACTCGTCTGGCCGTTAAGTCATCTAACAACACCCTCAGATTCATCTCCAATTCGTATTCATCTGAACATCTTGTTACAAAAGAAACCAAAAGTCTAAAATGAGCACCAAAAAGATATCAAACGACGTGAAAAACTGTTGAAAGAAAAAGATAAGAGTTTTCATTTCGGGGCTAATTCAAAAAAGAGATCCGTGTGTCAGAGAAAAAAATTCCACCGCAATTTTGGCACCGCAACTTGTAGAAATGAATTATCCAGCGAAAGCAGCCTGTCACGGAATGTATAAAGGGAATATCAGGATCTGGATGGGTCAAGATAAATAACTGTGTTGTGCGAAAAGAAGAGTAAATCTAACTATGTACATGGAAGTCTCTAAGTCCCAAGTTCGCTAAGCCATTCCTAGGACTTAGTCCCGTGGCACGGCCAGAGTCTTGATATCCAAGACAGAAGTAAAAACAATCCTAATTATGAAGGCAAACACTAACTTGTACCTGCCAAATTTAAAATACCTCCCGAAACCCACACACTTCTACAACAAAAGCAAATATCTTTTGAATTTGATTTCATTATCCAGATTTGGCGCCCTATGGGCCCATGCAGGTGTCTACAATCTATATTATTTAACAGGGAGGAAACCTTTATGGTGAAAACCTCCCGTACCTTTCTACTTGTTTTCTATAGTTCTCACATATTTTCTTCAGAAAGCGCAGTTACACTATAGTGCCATCCATCTAAACC